GCCGAAGAATTGATGCTTTTGAACTGTGGTGTTGGAGAAGACTCTTGAGAGTCCCTTGGACTGCATGGAGATCCAACCAGTCCATCCTAAAGGAGATCAGTCCTGAGTGTTCATTGGAAGGACTGATGTTGAAGCTGAAGCTTCAATACTTTGGCCAACTGATGCGAAGTGCTGACTCATTGGAAAAGACCCTGATGCTGGGAAAGATTGAGGGCTGGAGGAGAAGACGACAGAGGATGAGATGCTTGGATGGCCTCACTGACACAATGGATTTGGGTTTGGGTGGACTCCGGGAGTTAGCGATGGACAGGGAGGCCTGGCGTGCTGCGGTTCACAGGGTTGCAAAGAGTTGGACATGACTGAGCAACTGAACTGAACTGAACCAGTGTCGGAAGTAGAGAGGTTGTTTATCCAGCCCATGTCAGTGGTATATTGCGGAAAGCCAGGCCAGTGTCCGTCCGAACCCCAAATGATAATTAGTAGATTGACGAGCCTGTACATAACCTCAGTCCATCAAATTATAAAATCTGAATGCTCTGCATAATTTGGTAAGTATATTTCTGACAGTGGCCTCCAAAGCTTTTTCTTAGTTTTGTAAGTTTATAAAAGGTAGTGTTAAAAATGGTCTGCATCTAAACTCAAGTCGGAACTACAGGGTACCCAAGGGATGGCCCTGTTGTTGTTTAGCCGCTAAGTCCTCTCCCACTCTTCTGTGACCCCCTGGACTGTAGCGCGCCGAGCTTCTCTGTCCTTGAGACTTCCCAGACAAGAATACTGAAGTGGTTGCCATTTCCTCCTCCAGGGAACCTTCCCAACCCAGGAATTAAACCTGCATCTCTTGGGTCTCCTGTATTGACAGGCAGATTCTTTACCACCTTGCCACCTAGGAAGCCCCAAGGGTGACTGTACAACCCAACAAATTATCAGCTTTATATTTAATTGCATGTAAAAGCCTTATCAGCTGTGGCCTTAGAATGATTTTGTGAATGTTTTGTCACTTGAATTAGTACCAACCACAACAAATATGAAAATCAAGTTAAATATCATTTTTAATCTGTTATTTACTGTGGATAATAAAATTCTAAATCATTGATGTGACTAATGGTATGATTACAGAGTTCCTAATAAAGCAACATTTTTTTCTACAGAATATATACTATGCTATTAATATATAGTATATAGTATTTATTTACTGTACTACATAGAATTCCTAGATTAGATATAGACTACTGTATAATTTATATAATTTAATAGATTACTATTAAAGATAAAATACTGCATAGATCTACTAGATTAACACTGACTGGATTTACTAGAGTAAAAGCTTTTGTTTATTCTCTGGCATTTTTCACCTTCTAATGCACTTGCCTGTTTATTGTCTTTTTTGGTTTTGAAAGTGAAAGTGAAGGTGTTAGTTGCTCAGCCGTGTCCGACTCTTTGCGACCCCATGGACTGTAGCCCACCAGGCTTCTCTGTCCAGGGGATTCTCCAGGCAAGAATACTGGAGTGGTTGCTATTCCCTTCTCCAGGGCATCTTTCCGTCCAGGGACCAAACCTGTGTCTTCTACATTGGCAGGCAGATTCTTTACCTTCTGAGCCACCAGGTTAAGCCCCTTTTTGCTTTTTACTCTCCCCCAACTAGAATGTAAGCTCCATTTGGGCAAAAATCTGTTTTATTCATTAATGTTTCTGAGACATTTAGAATAGTCTCTAACATGCAGTAGACACTCAGTAAATAACTTTTGAATTAATAAATGGAATTGATATTAAAATACTTTAAAAAACCACTGTTTCATAGAGATAGTCCTGGTTGAAAAAAACCCTTAATTTCTACCAAAAAATCACAAATTACCAACTCCTCATCTTTTGTATTTATAGTTAGACTTTTTTACATTGATATTTTGTCAAAGAGGCCTAGTTTTTCTGAACATAATTATGGAAAATGTGTCATCTGATCTCAAACTTCCTGAATGTCCTTCAGGATTGAGTAATGTCTGAAAGCTTATTTGTTTGATTTTGTTTATGCAGCAAAGATAAGTTTTGGACTCCATTTGCCTAAAAATATAATGGATTAATACAGCTACAGGAGCAAAATGAAATTTGCCACATGGTTAAAATGTCTGGAAAAACAAGTTCTGCTTTGTTTCAAAATCATGGCATCGTCAGAAGGCTCTCAATTAAACACTAATCTTCAGTTCAGGCTATTTTAAGACTGCATCTTAACTGTGATTTCATTTTCCCCTTTAAATTCCTAGACTGTTTCCCAAATACTCTGCCAAATTAATTTGGAAGGTAATAGAATGGGAAACAATAAGACAATAAAACATGATACATGTCATACTCTTTTATAATAGTGTTCTTTTTTAAGGGATATTTGAAAATTTTTGTAGAGTTGAAAACATTTAGCTGCGTAGATGATAACAGTAAATAGCTTAATATTGGTTTTAAAATATGGTTTATATTAGCCAAGGGAGGACATTGCTGAAGTTCTAAGTATAATACTATCCTGTAACTGATGCAATTAGTGAGTTACTTTATCTGTAGCCTAGGAGGGAATGAAAGGGGATCTTATAATCAAAAAAGGTAACTGTCAAAAATGAGATCCAATATGAAATTAAAATGATACTTAAAAAAACATTAAGCTCTGAGGAAACTAGTAATTTTTTTTTTTTTTTTTTTTTTACTTTTCACTCTTGCCATCATGACTTTCTGGACTTAAATAAGCGGTGTCAGAAGAAACCCCTTCCTAGGGTGCTGTGAGGTCAGTCATCATGATTCTTGACTCCTTCCATGTTTAGGGTGTTTCAGTTCTAGTCCATAAGCCTAAGTCTAATCTACATTTAGGCTTGTATATTCTTCATTTTATTAAACACAAAGGAACCGAAGTTGCCTCACATAGGCCTTAAAATTTAAGCTAGCATAAAATGAGTGAATTAGAGGTATAAAAAAGTGGCATTAAGCTGTTTTTCAAGAATATTTGTAAACTTCAAATAAATATGTCATGAACTGTCACTTGCATATGTTGTATTATTATTTTTTTACAATTAAGTTCTTTTTAAATCTTTACTGACTTACAAGTTCATTAATTAGAAGGAGATTTTATTTAAGATTAATACTTGACTTTGGGTCTTTGAGATTTTCAGATAGTGTAAACTTAAAATTTTAAAGAAAGTGCAGAGAATTTGATATGAAGCTGCTGTAGGCAATATTCCTTGTAGAAGTTTTCAAATCAACCTGATTCTTCTTAGCACTCTCTATTCTTGCTTTAGGAGAAAATGGCTCCATATAAAGATGAGTACTAAAGAGTAAAGGCTTACATGTAAAAACTGAAAAAAAGAGAAAGAACATGAGGAAAAGATAGAAGAACATGCTTCATGGAAGAATTATCTAAATGAACACAAACTTCATGTACTCTTTTATCTCATGGAAATGAAAAATAATGTGTGTCTACTCTTAACAGGTGCTCGAAGAAGCATTCTAAGAGTTCAGTAAAGACAATCAGAGATGCGTAGTGCATATTGATCATACTCAAGAAAGAAACTGAAGGAATAAAAACTTGACCTAATGAAAGGCAAATATTACATATACACATACAGACTTAACATAAAACTGAAAAAAATCATGACAAAGGTTGATAAGCTTGAGGAAATCACAAAGTGAAATGTCAGAGGACAGTAAATAATGATTGTAAAGAAGCAGAAAGGTGGTAAAGAAAGCTGAAGCAATGAACTGAAAACAACAGAAAAACTTTCTAAAATAGATAGAAGTTTCAGTTTGCAGTTTGGAAAGTATAGCAGTTCACTAAGAAAGAGAAGATAAAGGAGAATCTTGTGGGCATAATAAGACAGAATAAGCAAGTATCTTTTTTAAAGGGAATACTCTAAGGGGTCTCAAACTTCTGTCCAGCAACTCATAGACCAGAAAACAGTGTGGTATAGAGTCTACAGACTTCTGGCTTTGATACATACTTTTGTAAATAGAAGTATTTTAGTTGCTCTGCAAAGAATCAACTCTAGGGGGGACCAGAGTGGAAGAAAAAAACCTCAGAAGTTTCCTGTGACAGTACAGGTGATGTATGGTGAAGCTTGAGACCAGAGTAGAGGCAGAGAGCCAAGATTTGAGATATATTTGGGAAGCAAGCACTTGTTAACTGATGGGAAGAAGTGAGACAAGTAAGAGGATGCCCAGTTTCTCTCTTAGGTTTCTGATTTTGACATTGGGATAAACAATGATGACATTTGTTGAGACGAAGAGGATTGAGACAGAACCATGCTCTCTGTGTTGTTTTTTTTTTTTTTATTTCAAGTTTGAAGTCCTACAGGTAGTAAGTTACCAATATTTACTTATTGGGATGATCATTTATTCAGCATTGGAATTTTGTGAATGCATGAATAGATATTCTGGCCGAATCAAACTACACTGAACAGTTGCCAAGACAGCCTGTATGTCTTCGGCCCCAGATAGAGACAGGGCTATTTTTCAATTGCTGTACTTAACGACTGGTATTTGTTTTTGTAGAAATATAAGTACTGTGTATGAATATCTGTGGGGTGTAGAAATAACTTACATTTTAAAAGTGAATTTTATTTGGGGACAGACCAAGTTAAAAAATCATGCATAATTAGTACAGTAATGGGAATTAGTCCTTAGTTCCCACAGATATAAATTAAATGAACCATTTTTTTATGCCTGTAGCACTGGCATATGTTTTTCACATTTTAATGTCAACTAAAAATAATATACCATCTAACACTAATTTATATAATAAAATCAGTTTATTATCTCTTAAGGCAAGTTTATTTGGAGAAGTTGGAGAATAACCAAGTTCATAAACTAAAATTACTATTGCTTTGTCACATTATTTATAGCCCTAATAGATATAGACTGAAGTGATTGTATAAGGTTTAAGTTTCAAAAGATTTAATTTTATTCTGTAAAATTCTTATATGTGATTTGAAGTTATCCAACATTTAAAGAAATAATAAGCCTCTGCCTGAATTGAAGGGAAGAACAGAAACACATCTGTATAATTTGTACAGTGGAAAACCCATCAGACATTAGTGGTTCCTTATGCTAGCTTGGAAGATGCAGAAACTCTTGCATAATTTGAAGGTCTGAGGCTTGCTGCTTTTGTTTTTATAGGGAGCACTTGTGTGTGCTTCTAGGTTCCTGTTGGATTATTCCAATAAGATTTCTTTAAAACTTTCTTTTTTATTTTAGTGATTAATGATCTGCCTAAAAGAAATTAATTCTGTATAGCTGCGTAGGATATTTCAAAAATAAAAGTTCTATTTATTTTTTCTAGGAAAAGTACTTTTCAGGCAATTGCAAAATAAACCCTGTTAAGTCAGAATGCTTTTTCCTTCGAAAAATTACTGAATCTACTAAATATGTAGTCAAAGTTTTTATGAACACTATTAAGGGATTTATAGGTCTGGCCTCATTTTGTATTTTATACCAAAATATTCTTTCTGTGATTTATCTACCAGGAAAAAAGCGGTTTCTACGGATGTTTTTTACCACACTGTAATGAGGGTAGACATGTAGTACACTTTTAAAATAATGCAGTTTGAAATGTTGTAAATTAAACTGTTCAGTATATAAACTTCTTGTCATATAATTCATTTTAGTTGCTTTTTGTTTGGATCAGATATCCTTTAATAAGACAGTGATACCTATTTTCATCTCAGGATCAAAATATTTTGTGTGCTGTGCCCAGTCGTGTCTGACTGTTTTGTGACCTTGTGGACTGTAGCCTGCCAGGTTCCTCTGTCCATGGGATTTTCCAGGCACGAATACTGGAGTGGGTTGCCATTTCTTTTTCTAGGGGATCGTCCCAACCCAGAGATCAAACCCTTGTCTCCTGACTCTCCTGCATTGCAGATGGATTCTTTACTGCTAAGCCACTGGGGAAGCCCCGGTTTACACAGTAAGATACACCAAACTTGTGGGTTTACCAAAAAATAATAAGATGAATCAATATAGACTGACATAGAAATGTATCAGTAAAATATTTTAATGGGAAAAGATAAGAGGCAAAACAACACATATAGTGTGATCTTATTCTGATTAAATTAACGGACCACCACTCTGAATTTGTGTATGAATAATTCTAAAAGAACAGACTACTAATGTATCAGTGGTTATCTCTTTTAATTTTCTGTTTTTTTTGCATCTTTAATGTTTCTTACAATGAGTATATCAATTGTTATAAAAAGATATAATATTAATAAATCTGTTATGTTGGCCTGTCGATTTGGATAGCTAATGTAAATCTGCATAAGCTTGTATATTGTATGTCCTTTTATATACCACGTTCTTCATAACAATATACTGAATTATCTTTTACGCAGAGAGAAATTAAGGTGAATTTAGGTATAAAATGAAAGACTCAGAAACTCTAAATAAAGAAAATTTTCCCAATCTCCTATAATGTGTTAGCTGTAGTTTTTTTATACAGGGTCTTTATCAGGTGGAGGACATTCCCTTGTATTTCTGGCTTACTGAGATTTTTAAAAACCTATTAGTGATCATGAATGAGTGTTGAACTTTGCCATTGCTTTTTTCACATCCAAGAGATATTCATATGTTGTCTCTTCCTTAATCTGTTTGATGAATTGATTTGTGTTTGAATGTGGAAACCTTAAATTCCTGGAATAAATGTTATACTTAGTCATGATATGTTAACTTTTTATATATTGCTAAAGATTTCTGTATTTTATATATCGCTAAAGTTGACTTGCTAATTATTTTTTGTATGCTCATCCCCAGAAGATGTTATTCATCTTGTTTTCCTCCTTATATCAGTTGCTTCTTGTATCTATTCTTCATCTGGCTTTGGCTTCAGGGTGATGCCAACTCAGTGAAATGGGTTGGGTAGTGTCCTCTCTTCTCTTTTCTGTGTGACATTGTGTATGTTTCTTTCTTAAATGTTTGAAAGAATTTAACAGCAAAGCCACCTAGACCTGAAATTTTCTTCTGGCAAAGATTTTAAACTAAGACTTAAGTTACTTTAATAGATATCAGTCTTTTCAGATTATATGTCTGTTCTCCTGAGGTGATGAAAAGTTAGAGGATGCTGAATATTCATCACCAGGAGAGTGGACAAATTGAGAAAGTAGCCTTGACATATATACATGATCATGTTGAAACAGCTAGTGGGAAACTGCTGTATATAACACAGGGAGCTCAGCTCGGTGCTGGGAAATGACCTAGAGGGATGGGTGAGGTGGGGGAGGCAAGTGGGGAGGGAGGCTCCAGGGGATGCTAAAACAACATTGGAAAGCAGTTATATTCTGCTTAAAAATAAAAGGAAGTCTTCTGCAGCAAATCAAAGCAAGGGATTGGTTGTCCACAAAACAATGAGGATGGATTTTAGAAACAAAATTCTAAAAGTCAAAACCAAGAGAAAAAATGAGGTCTTTAACATATAGCATTTATCTAAATTAAAATACATTCATACAAAGGGATCCTGACTCCCCTCACATTATTCCTTTGAGAATAGTGGATTTCTGCTATACATTAAAAAATATGCATGTGTAGATAAATATTCTGAAAATTAGTGAGATCTATATCGAAAATACTTTGTTCTTACAGATGTTGATGAATGCCAGGCTATTCCTGGGATATGCCAGGGAGGAAACTGTATCAATACAGTGGGCTCTTTTGAGTGCAAATGTCCTGCTGGTCACAAGCAGAGTGAAACTACTCAGAAATGTGAAGGTGAGTATCTCCCTTTCAAGGGACATGTCTGACTCTGAATCTGAGAAAACTATGACTTCGTTTTGAGTTTTGGAGAATTTAATCACAATTATGATGATTTATTTTAATATGGAAGTGAAAGAATAACCTTAGAGTAGTTTTGTGTTGGTTTGTATATTTAATGGTTTTCATTTGGAAAAAAGAACCAGTATCATTTTACATTTGGTTTATCCCAGTTTCTATATTGTAGTGAGAATGGTAGCAATCCAACAATTTTTAATTTTCGTTAATAGTTTTCTGTTTCACTTAGGAAATTATATCAAACATTAAAATTAGGTAAAGATAAGTTCAAGTGGAACATATTAAAGCAATGCATTAGAGGTACTCTGTCATATGTTATAAAATAAAGACTTTAAGTTTTGTACTGGATATTGTATGTAACTGACCATCTAATAAAAGACAAGCATAATTGACTCAAGGAGGGTTTGGAAATTATCACAGCAGGTAATCTCCTAGAAAATAGCTTAGTCAAGTAAAGATCTTAAAAAAAAACGAATACTTTTCTGGAATATGAGTTTGGGACTATACTTTGAAAAGTAAATTTTATCAGCATTCCTCAAATAGAATAAATTCACTTGTTATATGTATCTTTGAAAACTTTACCAAAATTATGAAATTCAGGAAGCTTCTAAGGGTGTCTAGTTTTAATTAATATAGAGGTTTAGGAAATTATGATGCTTCTGGTAGTATTAAAATATAATGTTTGTCTTTTCAGTTATTGAAATACTTAAATCAACTAATTGTTAACAACTGATTTTCTAAAAGCTTTAATAGGGTATATCTTTTCTCATTTTGTTACACAAGTGTTTTTATCTATTCAGAGTTCAAAAAAATTATTCTGGAGTTTTTGCCTGTCTAACTTTTCTGAAGTGGAAAAATATATATGGAAAATTCAGTAATCTGAACTTATTCCTTATGCCTACTAGGATATTAACTGAGAGCATTTTTTTTTTAAATTCAGAAGTGCCAAACATATATCATAATTACTTCTGGTGAAAATATTATCACAAGTTCATTTAGACCTTTTACCTTCAATACCTGGTATATATAATTAAGTCTTTTGTTTTTTTCCCCTTTCCAAAAGCCAGTATTTGGGATTGTTTCTGTTCAGTTCAGTCACTCAGTCGTGTCCGACTCCTTGTGACCCCATGAACCGCAGCACGCCAGGCCTCCCTGTCCATCACCAACTCCCGGAGTCCACCCAAACCCATGTCCATTGAGTTGGTGATGTTATCCAACCATCTCATCCTCTGTCGTCCCCTTCTTCTCCTGCCCTCAATCTTTCCCAGCATCAGGGTTTTCAAATGAGTCAGTTCTTCGCATGAGGTGGCCAAAGTATTGGAGTTTCAGCTTCAGCATCAGTCCTTTCAATGAACACCCAGGACTGATCTCCTTTAGGATGGACTGGTTGGATCTCCTTGCAGTCCAAGGGACTCTCGAGAGTCTTCTTCAGCACCACAGTTCAAAAGCATCAATTCTTTGATGCTGAGCTTTCATTATAGTCCTACTCTCACATCCATACATGACTACTGGAAAAACCATAGCCTTGGCTAGACGGACCTTTGTTGAAAAAGTAGTGTCTCTGTTTCTGTTACTTGATTATAAAAATTGTGTCCCTCTCTGTCAACAAAAAAGTGGGAAAAGTAAAATCCAGAGTATAATGATGGAGGACAAATGGGAAGAGGAACTATTTCCTAGATGAGAAGTAGAGTATGCGTATACAAGCAATTGGACTAGAGAGTTAGGGATCTGCAGGAAGTCTAGATTGGACCGCTATTTCCTTGCTATGTTCTGTGTTTTTCTTCCCCCCTCTTTTGGGGTTGATTCTGTTGCTCAACCTTTTATCACCCCTCCCCCTTTACTTTTTTACTTCTGGAGTCACATACAAACTAGATCCAAGGGTGGTGGACTTAGGACCAAAGAGAGAGTTTGATTATAGGTGAGAAGGTACAGCCACCAGCTGATGAGAGTGGTTGTGACAGTTCCATTAATCATCCAACAATGTATTACTTCTTAGTTGAAAACGGAATGAGCGTTTTCTACATCACATTTCATCAAAACAACGTGTAGAGCCAAGTCAGAGTTTGGCTGAAGACAGTGCGACTCTTTATTCGCAGTTGTCTATGTTCTTTAGGAAAGGGGGCTATTGATGTAATGTAGGCACCACCCAGAGCCCTGAATCCAATCGTCTCTTTCCTTATTTCCTGCTCAGGCAGCCAAATCTCTTTAACCAATGCCCAGAAAAAATTATATGATTTAATGTTTGGGATTGGTGGGGAATAGCAGAATTAGAAGAAGTGGTGATTAGAATTTAAAAACTGAAGGTTTTATGAAGCCTTGACTTTGTGTCTTAAGTCATATTTATTTGGATAGGTCTTAAAAGTGACTATTATCAATTTTCTTTGGGTTATACTGTTTCTTTATGTAAAAGAACAAGTGGTATTTCCTTACATAAATTTATTTAATGTAATTGGTGGCATAATGTATCTGGAAAGACTGCAAATTGTTGTTACACTCAGTTACAGGTTTTAAATTATAGTCAGTTTATATAGTATCAATGTAAAAAGTGTTGCCATAAATTTAAAGTTAGTGTTTATTCTAAATAAAAATACAATGATAGCAATTACTTTTAATCAACTGTTGAAGGTAAGATATTTTAATTTTTTTTATGGATTCCAATGAATGTTAAAATATAGTAGAACTAAAAGATATAGTTTTAAATGATGCCCTTCCTATTTCTGTTGTAGCACATTTTGTATTTCTGTTCATATGGCAGTGATATTCTCCAAAGAAATCTTTTTTAATCTGTAAGTTACTAGATCTATTCAGAAATAAGAAAGGTGACTCCATCACATTTTCCTGTGATTAGGAAAATGGTGGTAGCATTAACAAGAAATTGCAAAGTCAGCTTAATAACTTTGAGAAATTGTCTTATTCATTTTGTGTGTTACTTCTTTATTGACTATCTCACTTCAACACTTGAGCAAGGTCATTGAGGACAAAAACTCTGTCTTATTTCATGCTGAGAAATTTCATTTGCTACAGAGCCTGAGACAGTTCTTGATATAGTGTAAGCTACATTGATTCATTGGGAACAGGATGTATAGTAAGTTAAGTTCTTTTACTTGGGTTGAATGTCCAAATGAAAAGAAAATATGGGGCCAGAGTTGAGATTGTATTTGGAAAGAGGCCAGTGATCTTCATCATGGGAATTTTTGCTTTATCTGACTTTTTTCACTTCCTTAATAATCTTATTTCACTTTGGTTATAATTCAAAGGCTAAGAGCATAAACATTAAAGTGCAGTTCAGCATTTTTAGATTTTTGTGTCATTGTCCCTCTTTGAGTTCAGTTCAGTCACTCAGCCATGTCTGAAGCATACCAGGCCACCCTATCCATCACCAACTCCCGGAGCTTACTCAAACTCATGTCCATTGAGTCGGTGATGCCATCCAACCATCTCATCTTCTGTCGTCCCTTTCCCCTCCCACCTTCAATCTTTCCCCAACATCAGGGTCTTTTCCAATGAGTCAGTTCTTCACATCAGATGGCCAAAGTATTGGAGCTTCAGCATCAGTACTTCCAATGAATATTCAGGACTGATTTCCTTTAGGATGGACTGGTTGGATCTCCTTGCAGTCCAAGGAACTCTAAAAGAGTCTTCTACAACACCACAGTTCAAAAGCATCAGTTCTTCGGTGCTCAGCTTTAATAGTCCAACTCTCACATCCTTACATGACTAGTGGAAAAACCATAGCTTTGAATAGATGGACCTTTGTGGCAAAGTAATGTCTCTGCTTTTTAATATACTGTCTAGGTTGGGTCATAACATTTCTTCCAAGGAGCAAGTGTCTTTTAATTTCATGACTGCAGTCACCATCTGCAGTGATTTTGAAGCCCCAAAATATAAAGTCTGTCACTATTTACACTGTTTCCCCATCTATTTGCCATGAGGTGATGGGACCAGATGCCATGATCTTGGGTTTCTGAATGTTGAGTTTTAAGCAAACTTTTTCACTCCCTTCTTTCACTTTCATCAAGAGGCTCTTTAATTCTTTGCTTTCTGCCATAAGGGTGATGTCATCTGCATATCTGAGGTTATTGATATTTCTTCTGCCAATCTTGATTCCAGCTTGTGCTTTATCCAGCTCAGTGTTTCTCGTGATGTACTCTGCGTATAAGTTAAATAAGTAGGGTGACAGTAAACAGAGGTCAGGGACCTTCAGTCTCTATTTAAAAGAAAGAACTGTCTTCTGCTTTGGGACATCTTCTTAACTAAAATCTTCTCCAAAAGGCTTGTTGTACTGAATCTTTGCGTTTGAACATATATAGTTTATACTAACATGAAAAAAATGATATGGGAGCATTCGTCTCCTGATTTAATGTTTGAAACCTGTCAGTCAATATCTATCATTAAGGTTTGTTTTGTTTCATATCATTAGGAGGATTCTCTTGTGGGATTATTTTTTTCATGTTAAGTGTAGGCTCCTGTCCAAGCAGAGAGGAATATAAATATATATTTGTCTGTGTGTGTGTGTGCGTGTTTGTCTAAAAGAATCCCTTATCTTTCCCCATCAGTAAGTTACTACCCCAGATTCAGTAAAACCTCTTATGTTCACTAAAGTCATGTCTTATTTCTCCTGGGCCAGTTTGGCTACGATATCTTTTCCTAAGTCTGTCATAAAATGGCCAAAGTAATTCTTTGGTGTAGTAAACTATTCACATCCAAAAAGAAGGTTGTTTCAGTTATTTACTCTTTTCAAAGGTTCATTCATCTAAATCTATCTAATTTAAATTAAGAAAAGCAGAACACATCAATATAATACAAAAGGGTATATCAGAAGACTGTCCACAAGTTTTTTATATAACAAAAAATGTTAATTTGAACTTCAGTCCACTTGGATAAAGCACAGCTAGGTACCAGATGTCCTTACATGATCTCCTCTTCCAGACTATACCTTC